TTATTATTTCTGGTGTTTAGTATAAGCTAAATACGGACAGAGAAAGCTAGCAGCCTACGTGGCTCTTCACTGGAGCTCCACCATTGGTCCTCCGCCCTGCGAGGCACCGTCCGGCAGCATTTCTCATGGCCTTCCAGCTGAACCTAGATGCGTAGCACGGTCCCCCATGGAAAGACACGGGAGGCTGGCCAGCTGATTGTTCATTTTTGTGACAGCGTTGCAGCGCTTTTGGCCACTAGGGGCACTAGACGCTAAAGTTACAGGTCTAGCGCCTCTAGAAGCCAAAAGTTACATGAATTGACCGCATAAAAGGAGTTTTTAGTGAAAATCACCAGCGATCTGAGGAAATGCCTGGTTCACCCGGGGCAAGTAGACAGCCAATAAGAGGGCAAGGTAGAGACACCCAGGACAGCTAGGTACGCACACAGTCAGTCATCTAGAGAAAACAGATAAGCCAAAATCCATGCTTAGAGACAATGATGGAGGAAGACAGAGTACCCGGAGAGAACCTACCCCTGCATGAGGAAAATATGCAACTTCCATGCAGGAAGACCATAGATGGAATTGAACCCAAACACTTGCAATGCGGCTGTGCAAGCCACTGTGCTACCGGGCAGTCCCCTACCTGTCCCTTCATTAAAAATAAAGAGGGTTTGAAAGGCGGAGAGCAGAGACAAGCTGTTGCATAAGGCGATCAGCTTGCACTGTGGTTGGCCACAGAGGCAGAACAAGCATGACTCTGTCCTTTTGGCTTGTGATGCTACTGAACATCAGCAGAGCACGGAACCATTACGAGCAACGCAATAAATTGTGATAGTAACATTACTAAACAGTAGGCAACTCTCAAAGAGGCAGATTAGGTATCTTCTATTGCCTTTATTTGATACGACAGTTTTGAAGCAAACAGATGCTTGAATCCCTTCAGTCAGCGGACTATGATACCAACTAGAACAGGGTCTGGGTTTGGGGGATGAAGTCTTCTTCCATCTCTACTTGGCCAATAAGCTGCTTCTCCAGGGTTCCTAAACATCTGGAAGGTTGACTTGTTCTTTTATCACATGTCAATTGTTTGGAGGAGTTGAAGCATTTGATCTCTAACAAAGCCTCTAATCCAGGGGTGCTCAAGTCCAGTCCTCTAGAGCTACTATCCTGTAACTTTTTGATGCAACCATTTTTAACACACTTCAATCAAATGAGTGGCTCGTTACCATGCCTCTGCTGAGCTAGATGAGTAGATTGAGTCTTTAGATTCAGGTGTGTTAGAGAAGAAATGCATCTAAAAGGTAAAGGAAGGTAGCTCTTGATGACTGGACTTGAACACCCCTGCTCTAATCTTCAGTTCTTACTAGTGGTGGGGAGCACTGAGATAGGTGGTTTTGATCCCTCCCTCCCACTGGACTGGCCATGGTGCTGGTTGAAAATCCTCCTGAGTTTTTCAAAGATTCCAGGAACAGGGAATGACGATGTTCCTTCTTAGCAGACCTCATCTTGGTGTTTCTTAGAAAAGCCCATCTAGGATAACAACAGTTTTTCAGGGATGTCCTAACATGTCCATGTTCTCTTATCTTCCCTCTGTTGATGGTGGGAATGGTTCTGATGATGCCTAGCTTGTGTTCCATTGGGTGGAGTGAGTCAAAACGGAGGTACTGGCCAGTTTGTGTGGTTTTCCTATAGACTTCTATGGGTTTTGAAGCTTGACCATGACCTGGAGGAATCTTCACAGACAGTTTCCCTTAAATTCCCTTAAATAGATATCAGTTTTTAAACTTACATCAGATAAGAAAAGAAGAAGGAGAGGGCAAACTGCTGCCAAACAGCTTCAGTGAGATGCTTCTTCTGACCATCGACTATCTTTGGCTGAGTCTGACCGTCCGCCCTAACCTCTAAATCCCTCCATCACTATACAGAGCAGGGACGCTATAATGAACTCAGTTAACTCACCACTTGGACAGATAATCACTACTTTTCACTCCCTGTTGGTCACGCAACTCCGCCTCCCCGCGCTGTGCCTGCACCATCTTTGTTATTTGACAGCGGCCCGCTGTCACAACAACTCCCATGATGGTTTGCGAGGAGAGCTCTTCCAAAGCAGTCTTGGATATATCTACTCGTCTGGTGACCATGGATGATCACTGCTTTTCTTCCACTAGATGTTCACACACTCATCTAAAATGGTGTAACCTCTACAAGGTGGTTAGGGCGGACATTTGGAAACAGCCTCTGCTAACGGTTTGACCTCCTGCTCACCCCAGCAAAACATCACGCTTCCGAGAGATACCTGTAATGGCTGGCCTTCTGACCAACCATTTAGCTGGTAAAGAGTTCAACTGTGTCTATACGGTCTGTCCTGTCACACAAAGGGTTGTAGGCAATGGAAGGTAGGGGATCCCAATGCTAAATAAATTAGAGCTAGGTCCTAGCCCTTTCCTACCTTCTAAAACTATTCGGATAGCAACTCTTATGGGAACAGCGAATGGACTTCCAACATTGCTGAAGTGCCCTTACAGATCGAAGGTATTTTGATTGAGCCTGAGTTTGAAAAGAGAAAAGTCTAACCAAGTAGTTGTTGATGGAGATGACCGAACAATGTCTATAAATGACAAACTATGGTCTTTTAGACAAGCATTGTGGGGATGGGTCTGTCTGAGGGTTGATGTCAATGTTTAGTAAAAAGCATCAGCAGGACATTAAATTCCAAGGTACTTGTGTCAGTTCATTCACCAGAGGTCAGGGCGTAGATTTAATACGGATATATAAGCCCTCCGGGTTCCTTGGTCATGGTTTAGGTGTCCGCTGAGATGGTTGCCTTATAGAGAGGTGAAGGTGACAGTGGCGGAGGGCAGGGATGCCCTCACAGATTGGCTTTCATGTGAAAGCAGCCAGGGAGTCAGGCATGCATGCCGAGTCTCGCTGTGTAGAACATTAGAGCCGAGCAGCCATGAAGGGGAACCCTGTCAGCGCGCCTCCCTGGCACTGCGGCAGGGTATCGCTTCCACTCGTGATGGGATTGGTTTCACGCTATCATGTGTTTGGGCTGAAATAAGAGTCATCTGATCTTCATACACAAGTTCAGGAGTGTCCCACAGTGAGCTTGGTGGGGCACAAAGTGGAGTCTTTGGTCAAAATCCAAGCCTTACAACAAGGCAAGAACTCATCCCTTCTTTCCAAAAGCAGTTTTCTTGCTCTTATCCTGTAGTTAATCCTTGTAGGCACTAGTGCAGTGGCTAGCTATCAGAAGAATCATAGTGGTAAAGTAAATATGGTGACATCCGGAGGAGAAGCTAAAAGCCTGGCACTATCACGCTCTGTCGGGCTTTATCGTTACAGATGTACTGATTTCTGTCCATGCAGGTGTTACAGGTGCTAAAACTGGGGATGCTACTGTTAGCGTTCAAACGGTAGAATTTTCTTTAGGAAAAAAATCAAGACACTAGAAATGATTATCTTGTTCTGGCGACGGTGCATTGGGTGTAGGAGTTTGCCCAGTAATCAGTAAACACATGAAATGATCAACATCATCTAAAGACATATTGCTTGTTCTGTCCCTAATTGTGCCAGACCTGCAAACCTTTTGTCCATGTCCATTGGAAGGCTTGAGTTTTCATCCAGCAGCAGCTTAGCAGGAAGCTAACAGCAAGGAAGCCTTAGGAGACTTTCTCATCCAGTCTGGCTCTGTAAGTTCTGAAGATCAGAGAAATGTGTTGTTTTTGCAGCAGTTTGGTTCTGAAAAGTCCGCCATCGTGGCTTATCCTTGATCATTCTGGAGATCTGGGCCAGGGTCTCCATGGTGGTCGCCTCTTCCGATGTGAACCCCGGGCAGCTTGATGGAAAGAGGAGAGAGATCCTCTGTTCCTCTGAGCAATTCACACACTGTGCCAGTTGCCTTGTGGATCCAGTTGGCTGAGAGGAGGTTGCAGAGAAGAGAAGAGAGGTCTCACAGCTTTATTATGAGCTAAAGAAGTTGGATGTTGCTGTTGTAACACGGTGTTCCAACAGCTAACTAGTTGGACTGTGTGTATGATAGCCTGATGCGTGCTGTTAGCTTTTAAATACCTAAAATGGAAACAGATCCTCTGACACATAAACAGGTCTTTCACCTCTGCTCTCTATTTTTTTCTGAGTGCAAGGCTTTCCCGTTCAAACATCCTGTCCACTGTATTCTCTGTGTATTGCTTTTTTTACTGAAACGTGTACATGTGGTGAAATAGCCTCAAATAACGTGGCTCCAATACTATATTTAAGAACTACAATAAAATAGACAACAGTGCCCCCTGCTGTTTGATGTGTATCAGCACCCAGTGTCGGTTCATCTAATGTTTGGACTGTTTGTTTACTGATGTTAACATTGTTTAATTTATTGAAATATATATAAAAAAAAATCCAGTTGTTGTGAAACTTTGTTATCACAAAATGTCCAAGGGGGTTCTGGGTAATCCCCAATATGGGGCGCTGTTTGTAACAGTTAAGCAGTCAAAAATTAGGAGCAATATTTTATGATTAATTAGTGTTAAAAGCGTGAAGAGTTACTCCCCCCCACCACCCCCACCCAATCATTTTGTCATTCATTCATTTATAAAAATAAATTTAATTTATGCCAGCCAGTTCAGCTTTTCCATAAAGGTTAATTTTATTTTATTTATTACTAGTAGCTCAATGACTTTGTAACTGTTGGGTGTTTTTGTTTCTGGTGTCAGCAGAGGTCCAAGCAGCATTTGTCCAAGGAGCTGTCCGACTGTGTGGTCTACTGCAGGAGCGTGGCCTTCAGGAGCTTCAAACACGCCCGCCTCCACTACAGGTTCTACGAGGTGGCCTCCTTCACCGAGTCCAAGGCCCGCAAGCACCTACGGGAGAATGGTTAGCATCACCACCCATCCTCCATTCATCTGTCCATCATCCATTTATCTGTCCATCTGTCCATCATCCATTCATCTGTCCATCTGTCCATCTGTCCATCATCCATCCATTCATCCATCCATCATCAATCATCCATTTATCTGTCCATCATCCATCCATCCATCATCCATTTATCTGTCCATCTGTCCATCATCCATCCATCCATCCATCCATCCATCATCAATCATCCATTTATCTGTCCATCATCCATCCATCCGTCCATCCATCATCAATCATCCATTTATCTGTCCATCATCCATTTATCTGTCCATCATCCATCCATCCGTCCATCCATCATCAATCATCCATTTATCTGTCCATCATCCATTTATCTGTCCATCATCCATCCATCCGTCCATCCATCATCAATCATCCATTTATCTGT